GAATCCCATGATCGCAGCACAAGGGCCACCTCCGCACCTGCACCTACCGCAGCTGCCTGGCTTATCACCCCCCATCCCCTGCTCAGGCCATCCGAGCCTGGCTCATTCCTCCCACCATCCACCCTGTTGACTCTCTGTGTCAGTTTTGTGCCCAGGATGGGTGGCTGGAGGATCGTTCTGCACAGCACCATTGGTCCCATAAGGGGATGCTGAACCATTTGAGCTCCTGCTGCGTGTAGCCACGGTGACAGCAGATATGCTGCAGATAGGGGTGGGTCATGGAAAACACAAATCCCACCCCATCCAGCCAGACTGAGCAAATTAAAATGCATTGCTCTGAGCAGCTTTATGTATAGAAGTTTAAGAAGCGAAGAACATCAAGAAGAGAAATGAAAGTAGGGGCAAGAGCTGAGCTAACAGCAATGGGCCGCCCACAGGGCTGCAGAAATGCTGAGCTGTTTGTAACAAAAATAAGCAAACTCCCCCCCCCAAAAAAATCTTTCATGCTCAGTGCTGGAAGCTTTTGCATCTCATGGTTGTGATTCAACATCCACTGCATGTGGGCACGATGGGATGCTGTGTCTGCTGGTGGCTGGGCAGGGATGTCAGCAGGGTTGGGGAGCTGATGGGGACACAACGGTGACAATGACAGATGGACCCCAGTGCCCACTGGAGGAGCTCCATCCCCAGCTTTCTCAGTGGATGCCCCATCCCTGGAGGCATTCAAGGCCAGGCTGGATGTGGCTCTAAACAGCCTGGTCTGGTGGTTGGCGACCCTGCACATAGCAGGGGGGTTGAAACGAGATGATCATTGTGATCCTTTTCAGGTCATTCTGTGATTCTATGATTCTACGAAGTGGTATGACAGCATTCACACACAACTCCACACTGGGTCCCCATTTGGGAAGGGTTGGCTGATGAGCAAAAGGAGCGCTGACCCCACAGATCACCTCCCTGTGAGCAGGAGCAGAGCAGCACACTGCTGTGCAAACTACGGGTCTGACACAAGACACAGGAGTTCTGCAGGCAGATCTCTGCTCTGCAGCCAGATATATGGGAGTTTGCTTTCAAGAAGTTTCCTGTCTGTGCAGACAAAGCCTGCTTGAGGACAACAGCGGTGATGTTCGTTGGCAACAACACCAGCGCAGCAATCAGCAGCAGCACCACTCAGTGCTGGATCAGCCCTCCTTTCAGCAAGCACAAGTTGGGGTATTGGGAGTTCAGATGGGGACACGGCAGCAGTCGGCTGCATGATTTGCTGAGTGCCATTCAGAGCTGGAAAACCGCAAAAGCTCAGCTGACAACGGCTCTCCAAAGCAGATCAAATTATCTGCATATCTTAGGAAGGAAGTCGGGTCGTAACCCACTTATTCCTAAAACATTCCCTTTGCAGCACCATCCACAACAGCCACAGCAACCTCCAGGCCAGCTTCAGCAAATGTGCTTTGTCATCAGCAGCTCTCCTGTGCCAAAGCCTAAGCGTGCCCGCTACTGAATTGGCATCTTAATTGGTTGTCAGTGTCAGTCTGACAGCAGCAGTCCTCCCGATGTGAGATGAGGTGAGATGCATTGAATTCCTGCCCCTGAACAATGATCACTGATTGCAATTTGCTTTCGGCCACTTTGGGATGCCCTGCCCAGCATACCAGGAGAGCTGCTCAGGGAGGAACGAGCAGCCAAGGTTGTGTGCTGTCACCTGGTGCATGCCTGCTGCTAGTGGAGCTGTGCAGTGCACGAATTGGAGCATCCCTGCTGTCACACTGTGGTTCAAGCAGCAGCAGCAGCCTGCTGGGTGTTGTAGCTGTGTGCAGTGCTGTCAGCATGCAGCACAAACCCAGTTGGGATACTTCTGCTGGGTTGCCCTGCAGAACTGAGGGCTCATCTTGCTGTACCCGTTTCTCACAATCCAAAGCCCCTGCTTGGATCATGGGGCTCCATGCTGGGGTTTTGCTCTGTCCCTCCAGCCAAAATGGGATCCATCTGTGCCAGAGGTGGAATAACCAGCATCACCAACAGGAAAGATGCCACGTGCATCTGGGGAAAGAAAATTTGCAGCTATCCAAGCCAGAATGATCCATGGCACAGCTCAGCAGTGTGAGCAAGATTCAACCACACACACCAATGCAGCAGCATTAAGATCTGCTCAGAGGAGCAGAATTCAGCCAGCTGTGAGGCGCTGGGACCCAGAGGCAATGCCTGCTGATGGGAGCACTGGAGAAGATGCATAATGCTCTTTTCACATCGAGTTATTTGCAAGATCCTTTAGCTTTTTTTTTTTTCTTTCTTTCTTTCTTTCTTTTTTTCCATGTAGAGTTGCTTGCAAACTCCCTTGGATCTGCTGGATGCCATTAGCACAGCCCTGGCAGCTCACTGGAGCAGCAGGGCAGGGTCACACAGCAGCAGGTGCTGCTGGCTCAGCCCATGGATGCCATCTGCCGTTCGGAGAGCATCCAGAGGGGGAGGCGAACAGCCCAGTACTGCTCAACCCGAACACCCACAGCAATGCCTTAAACACAAACCAACCCCACGCATGGAGAGTGCACCTGAATCACCTCCCTGCTCCCCAATCCTGGCCCACCATCACCTCCAGGGCAGGCACAGCCCTCTTGTTTTGTCAGCTCCTTCAGCCTCCTGTTTTCCCACAGCAGCAGGAGCAAAGCAGAGCTGCAGGATGCAAGGTGCAGCTGTGGAAACCAACCGAGGAGGGATAGAATCCTCCCACTCGTGTCTGGCAGCGTGCTGGAAGCAGTGAGTGCCAGCACTGAGCTGCTGAGGGATGGAGAAACCTGCAGGATTTCCCCTGCTCTTGAAGGGAAACTCAGCCCACGGAATGAATGTGGGATTTCCCATAGCTGAGAGCAGCCAGGGAGGGGACAGTGCTCTCAGAGGAGGCTGCAGGTGCTGTGCTTTGGATGCTGAAAGCTGTGATGCTGCACTGGGGCACAGCTTGGCATACGGATAACTCACCCTATCTCTCACCACTAAGTAACCATAGATGTGTCCCTTCCCACTCCTTGGTTACCTCTCTGAGTTAACAAAGCCATTTATGACCCAGTGATAAACAGCAAACAACGTTTTTAACGGGGAAATCACAGCTCCATCAGACACGGATGTCTCCAAGCGAGTGTTAGCTGGGAGCACAGCACAGCAGAGCTGATTAGAAGGGTCTGAAGGCTCTGCAGCTCCTTCCTGAACACAACCATGGGGAAAGCACTCCCACGGTGAGCTCTGAGCCCCACAGGGCGCTGCTGCTGCTGGCTGCAGACAGTGGGTTTGGCTCCATAATGAGAGCCGGGTTTCGCTACAAAGCGGCTGACCCAGACCTGCTCCTTGCTGTGCTGCTGCTTCAGGAGCTCCTCTTTCTCTCCCTCTCTACATGCTCGGCACATCTCCAGCTTTGATTACTGACCGTCTCCATCTCCCCCCCCCCCCCCCCCCCCCCCCCCCCGCCTCGTCCCCGCTCACTGACATCTCTTCATTAAGTCCTACGACGGGTTTATTCCCATGGCGCTGCTTTGTCTGCCTCGCTCTGCAGCGTTTCTGGAAGGAGAAAGCCAAGGAGCAGCCCCCAGCTGTGCTGCAGGCAGACAAAGGCAGCGGGTCCCTCCTCCCCTTGCTCCAACTGAACAAAGGCAGCGCAGAGCCCAAGGCCGGGTCCGTCTGCAATAACCAGGGGATGGGAAAACGGGGAGCATCGGGCCGTGCAGTGTGTGGGAAAGGTTCCTTAAGGACAAAGGAAAACACTTCGTTAACAGTTAGAGACTCTCGGCTGTGCAGAGGCGGCTGAAACAGAGATCTGCTGTGCCGGGAGACTCGGGGTTTGTGCTGGAAAGGGAGTTTGCTCCCTCCCGTCCTCCTCTGCTTCTCAAAGGGATGCGCAACCCTGGGGTCAGCACGCTGTGTGCATGCAGAGCGAACGTCCCCAGCCCCAAATCCCCCCCAAACAGAGCAACGTTTTGGATGCAGAGCTCCTTCCTGCTGTTTGCACAGCCTCCCGAAACGCAGAGCCTAAACAACCAGAGCACCGGGAGCGCAGATGGGAACATGACAGGGGATGGGGCAGGAGCTGTTTGCTCCTCTTGCGCCTCGCCAGAGACAAGCAGGCGGGATGTAAATCATTAGCGAGCGGGTTGTTCGCTGCCGAGTCGCTGCTTTTCCCCTTTTATCTCCTCTTTGAGATCACAAAGAGCCGCTCGGATCTGTCAGAGCTGCGCTTCGGGAGCTTCGCTCTCTCCTCTGCCGCACAGCAAAGCCCGCAGCCGGACCCGGTCCAAGCAGGGCTGGAGGTACCGGCGCACCCCGACCCGGTGGGAGAGGATGGAACCATGGGGGGGTCGGGCGGGGGGAGCCGACCCAGTGAGCGCTGCGATGGCGGCTTTGGCCGCACGGTGTCCCCCGCGCTCCGCCGTCCCCGAAACGGGGCTGGGATGGGCTGGAAGGAACAAGGGTCGCATCCCTGCTGGGACACCTCGCCGAGCCCCGGCACAGCCGCCTGAGCTGCCCACCTTTTGCCTCGTTTTTCAGCCTCGCTCCTGCCTGTTCCTATAATTATAGCCCATAGCACAGACTGGGTTCATGTGAGGGGGTTTCTGGGTGCAGCTTTTAATGATGCTACGAAAAGCTTGGAGTGTCAGCCGGTGGCTCAAACCCTCCCAAATGAAGGAATGAAACCAAACAGAAGCCACGGCTGTTGCTCCCTGGCCTCCCTACAGAGCAAAGCTACGGGAAAACCCTTGCCCAGTACTCTGGAGGCGGGGCTCCTTTTTGTTTCTTTCTCCCAGGACTGATCCCCAAGATCCCAAATAATTGTAGGAACTAAAATCTAAGTGGAGGCCATCTCTGCGTGAAACCCTGCAAAGGCATTTTTGTTCTACTCGTGTGCCAAAAGTAACACCCAGCCTCTCACCAAAGCACTCCTATGGGCATCCACCCCCCTCCCCCAGGAGCACGGGCAGCTCCTTGCTCCAGCTCCTGGCAAAATAACAGTCACAGCTATGGGCCTGCAGGAAAAGTCTTGCTATGAAGGCAAAAGAACAATCCCCTGTACCTGGATACAGATTTGGAGTTTCCCTTCCTGCACACCAAAGAGAAAACACACACCTCAGAGCACCCAAAGAGGGCATCACTTCTGCTCTCCCCATTCCGGCTGACCCCTCCAAACCTGTGCTGGGTTCGGGTGGCAGCAGGGAGATGCTCACCCACACCTCACCCTGCAGAGCCCTTCCTGCTGGCAGGACACACAGCACAAACACTGCAAACTGTCCCTTCCTCTTCGTTTCCCCCCCCAGCAGCTCTTTAGGAGACCGGAGGGGAGCATAGGGCCACTGCTAGGAGTCAGAAAGGCAGAGGGCTTCCACCGCGCTGCTCAACCCCTGGCTCACCCCACCAACTGCTAGCAGCAGGCAGCCCCTGAGCACGATGCTGGAGCAGGCACAGCGTGGGGTGGGCATGGGGGGCAAGCTCTCCCATTTGTTCTTCTCAGGGTGGAAAGCTTCTGCAGACTCCAGGACGGTCGGCTGGTTTCCTGGAGACACAAAGTGAGGCGGCAGGTCACCAGCAAGCATCTCTTTGCCTTCTCTGTCTGCACCCCCAAAGCCCATCCCCCCCTTATGGGTTCTTTTCACTGCTCCCTCAGGCCAGGTCTCCCCATTCTGTAATGACTCTTCTTTGCTTTACAGTGTCACCTCCATCCCCAGGGCCTCACCCAGTCCCCCAGCCACGACGACTCTGCCTTTCAGGTAGCCAGCCACAAAGTCTGCTCGCCGTTTCTTCAGGTAGAAGGAGCGCTCCATCTTCATCCAGCCACCTGCCAGGGGCAACACAGACAGCATCACAGCAGCACTCAGCACCACGGAATCATTAAGGTCAGAAAAGACCTCTAAGATCACCAAGTTCAACTGTCAGCCCACCCCCACCGTGCCCACTGAACAACACGTCCCCTCACTGCCACATCTCCATGGTTCCTTAACACTCCCAGGGATGATGACCCCACCACCCATCTGCCTCTCTGGCCTCCAACCCCTGGGAACTGCACATCCTCGGGGCAATAAAACCCACAATGCATGGGGGCCTGCTTTCTCACCACCTTGTCAAACTCAGCAGCTGCAGAACCCCTCTGAACCACATTTTTCCCCCTCCTGCCTCTTCTTATTAACCCCCAGAACCCACAAAAACCAGCAGGTGAGAGTTGAAACCCCCAACCCACTCACCCCAATAGCACATGGGCACATCCCCACACGCACCCACCCTCACCCACGGACCAGGACAGAGCTGTGACATCCCACCTTGCTCAAAGTCAAACACATCCACAGTCCTCATGAACTTGGGCTGCCTGTAGAGCCGGCCCTGCCGCAGGCCCCCAAGGCTGAACAGTTTGTCTTCGGTAGGCACGAAGCTGGAGAAAGCTCTTTTATTGGGGATATTGGGAAACTTAGTCCACGATCTGGTCTCGGTGTCAAAGACCTCGAAGGCGTTGATAGCATACTTGGACTGCCTTCCCCCTGGGTGAAGGGATGGAAAGAAAAGGATTAACAGCAGCCAAGGGTCAAATAGCAGCAGCAGGACCCAGAGGATGCTCCTGGGGTTGGATGAGAGCAAACTGCCATTGATGGCATCCTGTGCTCCCTCTCTTTTGTAATTGCACCTGCATAAAATGGAAGCGCCCCATTTCTCAGTGCGTCACATCTTCCTCTTCCCTCCAAGCCAGCAGTAGGTGCAGGAAGGTGTTTGGTATGCATTGGTTTAATCAAGTCAAATGCAGGGCAGAGAAGGGATCAGCACTGGGGGAGGTTTGCAATTCAGATGAGCTCAGCGCCGGCGCAAAGCAGAGATCCCAGCAGAACAGCAGAGTCAGAGCAGCTGCTGCCACAACCCACAGACGTGCGTTGTTGTCCCCCCTCAGATGCAAGGGGACACAGCTGCTCTCAGCCTGGATGCTCCGTGTGCCTTTGAAGCAGAACCTTGGCTTGCTACTGGGCCCACTGAATGTTTGCTGGCAGCAAACAAAATACAGAATAGATCAAAAGAGCCTTTTCTGGTGGCACCCTACAAACAGGCAGCGCTGTGTGGTGGTTTGAGCCGCTGGGTTTGATCACAGCTTTGCTGCTGGTGCAGCTCATTTGGCTGTGAGCCTCCAGCAGCATTTCCCTGCCTTAGTTTCCCTTTCTGTAGGATGAATAAGAACCCTTCCCTGTAAAAGGGTCGGTCCAGCACTTGCCAACAACAGCAAGTCTTTCCCTCTGGCCCTTCCTGAAGGCGAGCAGTGCTTTGATGGCATAACATGGACAGAAGTGTTGTTACTCAAAAACAAGGGCTTTTGTTGCAGTCTCAGGGGTGCACACTGAGCAGCAAACAAACGAAGGGAACCATTCACCAGCAGCACTGAGCTGCTGCATGGGCACAAGGGTTCCTACAGTTACTTGCAGAGGAGGGGTGAATGCAAACCCTATGCCCAAACCAGCCCTGCAGCAGCAAGCCTGGTATGTATGAGTACATGAGAAGCAGATGAGGATGGAGAGCATCTCCCTAAGCTTGTCACAGGAAGCAGACTCAGTGCCCAAGGAGCTGAAGGGAGGTGCTTACCCAGCACGTAGATCTTGGTGCCCCGCAGGAAGGAGGTGGCTGCATACCGTGCTGTGGGCATGGCTGCCAGGGACACCCAGATGTCCTTCAGCATGTCGTAGTGCTGCAGGTAGTTGTGTGGTCGTAGGTCAGCTCCCATCCCACCAGCTGCATACACTCTGTAGTCTGGGCAGGGTTGAGAGGTGAGAAACCACAGTATTAATATGGGAAAGCACACTTGAGGGATCTGGGGAGCTGTTTCTGTTCCTGGTCCCTTGCACTGAATTGATCTGCCATAACCAAGCACAGAGGGAAAACCAGCTCTGAGGTGGTGAACAATTTTTGTGAACGTCCCTCGATGGCAGCTTTTAGAGCTACACAAGCAAATAAATGGAGCAGCTTTCAGAGGAGCTGCCTGTGGGTCTGCACTGATCCCCAGTGTGTGCATTGCTCCTGGCCCCAGGTATGCAGCTGCCAGCCCCCGGCTGTTCAAAGCAGAGCAGAACATGCTAAAGTAAATCAAAGCTCCACCTCTCTGCCTGGAGATTAGAAAAATGAGATGGGCAGATGAAGGCAGAGCCCTGCAGGTGTTAAATGGAACGTAGGTATGGCTGTGGTTAAGCTCATGGAAGGGAGTGATGCAAAAGCCTCCCCCCCCCCCCATGAGCCAGGTGCTTCCCTTCCCTGTGCACTGATTTGGGCCCACAGTTATGAAGCCAGCTCTTATGGTGGGTGCTGGGTTTGGAACAGAGGCTGTGCTCTGATGAAGGCTGAAGGTTGCTCTGTGGCTTGGGGTCAATGCACCTCCCCCCCCTTCACTGTGCAGACAGAAGCTCTGCCCATTTCTTCGTCATGCTGGGACCTGAACTGGCTGCGGATTTGGGAAAGACCAGCTCCAGCCCTGCAATTTGGAGCTGCCAGAAACACGGCCCAGCCTCAGCCCTTGCAGCTCTTGGGCAGAGCACAGTGCTGCCTGCATCTGCTTTTGGCAGCCATTGGTGGAATACAACAACCACCTGAGGCTATAAGCAAAGAAGAAGGGGTTGAGGAGCAATCCAACCCTACAGCATTGCCCAGAAAGCATTTATGCACGGAGGGACCCCAACCCTCCCCCACCCTCCTTACCTTTTGCCGTCACCGAGATGCCCATGGCCGCCTCCCTCAGCGAATTCCTCTTCTTCCACTTGCCCTCATCCACGTTGTACATCTCCACGATCTTCAGCGGTGCTTGGTTGGCCCCCACACCCCCTATCACCATGATCCTTTTACCCAACGTGGCCACCGCCACCCCGGCCCTGGCAGTGGGCATGGGGGGCAGCGACGTCCATTGGTCAGCCTCGGGGGAGTAAACCTCAAAGCAATCCATGGGGACACCGTTGTCATCGCAGCCCCCGATGGCAAACACCTGCCCACCCACTTCCACCAGCGTGGAATAAACCCGGCGGCTCGGCAGAGGGGAGAGGGTCTTCCATTGGAAATCCCTGCTGTTGGCCACCTCCATGGTGTCAGCATCTATCAGCTGCTGATGGGGCACCTAGGCTGCAAAACACAGCAGGGAGGTGCAGGATGAATGCGAAGTGCAGCACTCAGAGCAGAACAAACCCCAAAATCCATCTCAGCCACCCCCCTGATGCTAGCAGTACCTCTGCCTGCAGCTCTGCTCATCCTGCAGATCCACGCCTGCCTCAGCAGCTCATGCAGAGCTGAGCCTAAAAATAAAACGAAACAAAAGGGGGGGAAAAAAAGCAATAAAAATAAAACAAACCCAGGCAGGAGAGGTTGGAGTCGCTTTGGTTCCTGAGCATCCCCGCCCCCAAGCGACATTCAGAGCAAGGAGGCTGCAAGCTGTCTGCTCCCTCCCCTGCAGCATCTCTGCCTGCTGGGGAACTTTTCCTTGCTCTGAGCTTTCCTTCCTCTGAGCCTATTTCTCCTCCTGACCCCTATGATGCCAGGACACAGCAATGAGCCATGCCAGGCTCCTGCCAGCAGCCCTGAGGACAGGCTCCAGCTCTGGCTGCAAACCCTCCTTCCTTCCTCTCCCCTCCCAGATTGGCCATTAAGCAATGCAGATGAGATTAATTAGTGCAGGAAGACAGAAAGAGGGCAAACAGGAGGAGGGAAGGCAGCTGCTCATCCACCATGCAGGGTGGTGCTTTTTGCACTGAGCATCCCCACCTGCGTGCCCCAGATTGGGTAACAACTTCCATTAGAACAAAGCAAGGTTTGTTTCTGCTCTTGCAGGCTGCTGCCTCCCACACCTGCGCTGGGATGGGGCTGTTCCCACTTATCCCCATTTGCAGCCCTCAAGACTTTCTCAGTTATCCCATCACCCCACTGCCTGCTCTGTGGGGACCATCTGAAGGTGACTTCCACGCTCCTTCAGTTCCTGTTTTTCATCTGAAAGCGTGACTCAAAGGACAGCGATGAAAAGCATCAGCAAAGCACACGTGGACAGAGATCCATCAAAATCACATCACTTTCAAGCACAAAACCCAATGGATTTAACAGGGTCGAAGGAGCACAAAGCAGCAGCGCTGCATCCCATCCAGCAGCCAAAGGGAAAGGGGCAAACAACAGATGTGGTCGGCAGCTGCCATCCTCCCCCCAATCTGCAGCACCTCATGCTCTGATGTGCATCAGCAGAGCAACACAGGGGGTGATTTTAAGCAGCTCTGGACTACAGCTTTAGTGAATAATTAATTTTCTCTCCAGTTGAACTGTCGTGCATTGCCACAGATAAATCCAAGTGCGTTAGAGAAGCAGAGCCTGCTCCTATCTGCAGGCACAGGATGGGTTTGCAACCTGACCTTTGCTAAGTCGTCCTCTGCCCCTCTGTGCCGTGATAAAGCACAGCCCTGGGATGAAGCACAACGTCACCGCTGTGCCAGACAGCTTCTGTGCTGCTGTTCATTACAGAGAGCTGCACCTCGAGGATAATGCTCTTTTTTTAGCAAAGCTTTGCCTCAAAAAACTCTTTTCCAGCACAGAAACACGCGAGCGTCGCTCAAAGCAGTGGGGGGATTGCTGAGCAAAGAACAGCTGAGTGAGAGCTGCAAACTCAGCCCAGCTGTGGCTCAGCAGAGCTCTGCCTGGATTCGGCTGCCTTGGCAGAAGGAGAGTTCAAGAATTCGCTGTTTTTCTCTTTCATGCTCTTAAAAGCAGATCGAGGTCAGGCTGAAGCTCTCCATTATATATGTAGGCTTTTGTCTGGGGCTCTCCAGCATCACCTGGAAAGCATCGCTGTGCTGTAGGAGCTGCCAAACGTGCTGACCCAATGCCCCACTGCACTGCAGCCACGTTCTGCTCCAGGCAGAGGGAATTATCACTTAATTAGACCAAACACATCAGAAGCATTTATTATTATTTTTTTTCCCCCCTAAACGGCTGCGTTAGGATCAAAATGAATGGTAATTGCTTTCCTATCGGAGGAGATGGCAAGCAGTGAGCTGAGCCCACACCAGTTCTGGTGACATTTATTGCCTACAACACTTTGTGATTTATAGGAGAGGCTGAGCTGAATGCACTGAGGCTCTGAGCTGCCCAAATAGGGCAGGCTTTGTCCCCAAATCCAGTGCTGCCATCTGGGGCTGCCTGTGCTGCCTTTCCCACATCCCCTCCCTGGGATTTAGATGCTGCTATGCTCCAGGCTTGATATTCCTCAGCTGGGGGGGGGATGGGAGGGAGCACAGAGTGTGAGCCCATCCTGCACAACTTGCTCTGAAGCCCCAGAAGCATCGCACTGCTGCAACTCATCCCTCCCTTTGGAGACCCCACAAAGATGCAGGTGACCACACATATCCCCCCTTAGCACCTCTCACAGCAGCGTTAGGGCTGCATGCAGCTGACCCTTATCTCCACCACACCCCAAAATGTGTCACCATCACAAATGGTGAGGGGTCAGACCCAGGGCTCCTGCAAGAGCATCCCTGCTTCCACCCGTGTGCTCCTTGCTGTCAGAGGGGTTAAAACAAAGCTGCCACGGGGAAACCTAATAGAAACATTGCTCCCTACTGAGAAAAAGAGCTTGTACTCACCTTGGTGCCATGCAAGATACGTCCTGGGCTGTCTTACAGCTTGGGAAAAGTGGCTGCAAACGGAGCAGAGCACAGCGTGCTGCCAACCAGGGTTTGTTCCCAGCACAAGGGGATGGGCGTCACAGGAACGGGGGCAACAGGAGCTGGAAATAGCACAAACCCTGGGAAGGAATCACAGCTCCACGCAGGAGTCAGCAGCTCCAGCTCAGATCTGTCGGCACTGTGAAAGAAGGAGCAGGGAGAGATGACACAGCACAGCAGTGAGGATGGGGCTCAGCGTGGGGAAACCGTGGCATCCCAGGGAATGGCTCTGCTGTGAGGATATGGAGGAGATCCCACAGAGCATCCCCACCTGCAAGGATGGGGGATTTTGTCAAGATGGGGAAAAAATGGCAAAAAAAAAGAAAAGAAAAGAAATAGGAGGGGAAGGGCAACGATCGTCTCCTTGGGGCTGTATTTTCTTGGATGCAGCACATCCCAAAGAAAGATGGTGATGAAAAGTTTCTGGTGCAGAGCAGCGCCCACCCCTCACTGTAAACCGGTGTAATTGGGGGGAGCTGCTTTTCCTCCTGGCAGCACACACACATCCCAGCATGAGCACCCACTGCTTTGTCAGATAAACATCAGCAGAGTGAGGAGAGGCCCTGTGGGGTCAGGCGTTCCCAAATGACTGCCAAGTTCATACAAGCCCCTCAGAAAAACTCCACGACCCTGCTGTTGCCATCATTGCTTCTCATCACTCGGGTTCCAGAAGCTGAGATTTCAAACTGAGCGTGCACAAAATGCTCAGTCTGCTATTTCTGACCTCTCCTCACACCAAATTGAGTTTCCTTTCCATAGTAACAGCCACCCAGAAAAATAACAGCAACCAGAGCCAGCAGCTCCCTGCTTTCCACTACAAACAACCCCACTGGCTTTCAAGGAGACTTCTAACTGCGATGCTTTTGCTAAGGGAACAAATGGCACCTCGGTGCCGAGCAAAGAAAAAAGCAGCAGCGCTCACAAGGAGCTCATTTTGAGCCTCTCCCTGCAGACAGACAGACGGACAGAGGAGAGTGCCACTCAAACTGGGCTCCCTGGCTGCTTAACAGAAAAGATCCCTGAGGTCCTTTGCAGCCACACACAGTTTTTTGCTGGTGGGGGGGGAGGCAGAGAGCTCACACTCAGCTCACAGCCCTGTGATGGGATGGATGGGGATGGATGGGGATGGATGCCAGCAGCTTCAGCACGCGATGGGACAGGGAGACACAGCAATTTTTGGTCACTGGTTAGCATGGGGAAAGAAAGCAGAGCATCTTTTATTTCCTGGGTGAACAGAGCAAGGTAAGATTTATTCCCATTGCATTTTGTCTTAAGACAGTTGCAATTGCAGCAGGAAAATAGTATCACCCCAGCACGGTCCTGCTGTGTCCTGCATCCCTCCTCCATTCCCCCTGATGCTGTTGCTGCTCTCTTTGCATGGGTCAAACCCTCTTCAAGCCCCACAGACCCTCTGCTTACATTGATAAATCTCTGTTGGTCTGCATTCAGGCTGCATCCCTTTGGAGGGAACAGGGAGAGAGCCCTGTGGGGCACCCAGTGCTGCTCCCAAGGCCTGGATGAGGGGGAGGAGCAGCAAAGAATCCGTTTGGGGACAAATGGAACAACAAAACATAGGAAAAAATGAGGGTTAAAGCCAACCAAACAACCTCCTCGTGCCATTTTTTAAAGGAGAAAATGCAACCCCAGAGCTTCGTTCTGCACAACCACAGCACGGTGCTGCAACCCCCCAGCAAACCCCCACCCTCCCTTACAACCTGAACGCTGTGCTTACAGCTGTGCCGCCTCCTCGCACGATGCTCTCCTACAAACGCTCTTCAACTTCAGCCCAGCGAAACCCCGAGCGCCGGCATCTCCAGCTTGAGCGCATCCATCCCTCGGGTGGGGGCTGGGGGGGGCTGCGAGAAAACGAGTAGGAATCCTTGGGCTTTAAAAGCCCGCTTGCAGGAGGCGTGGGATGAACGGAATCGGAGCTCTCCCATCTGCTGCGGCCGTCGGGATCCTCCTCGGTGCCGCCGCCGGGGCTGTGCGTGCGGGTGTGTACAGGGCGGATTAGCAGAGCCATGCTTTAAGCCTTTTATGGCTCCCCAAGCTCGCACAGGATGTTCTGTCACAGCGGCCCTCCCCTTCCACGGCTGCAAAAGGAAAAGTGGTCGAGGAGGGAGAGATGGAGCGGGGATGCTGAGCTGGGGACGGCTGATCTGTGGGCATCGATCGGCTCCGTGGGCAGAGAACACATGAAGGATGGAGGGGCTGCGGTGGGATGGAGAGGCAGGACTGAGATGGAGGGGCTGCACTGGGATGTAGGGGCAGCATTGAGATGGAGGGGCAGCAGTGGGATGGAGGGGCTGCAGTGGGATGGAGGGGCTGCAGTGGGATGGAGGGGCTGCGCTGGGATGGAGGGGGCAGCAGTGGGGTGGAGGGGGCAGCAGTGGGGTGGAGGGGCTGCAGTGGGATGGAGGGGGCAGCAGTGGGGTGGAGGGGCTGCAGTGGGATGGAGGGACCTTTGGGTCCCAAACTTCTCAGAGCCAATGTTCCCCATTCTGATGGTCCACGAAAGGCTTTTGCAGCCCTGATTTGCTTCTCTATTCTTCTCCTGAAGGTGATGCAGAATAATAACTCCGACTCCAGGAAAAAAAAAGAAAAAAACAACAAAACAAAACAAAACATTTCTGAGCCAAATCAGAAGGAGAAAGATCCTTTCAGTGTATCTATCTCCCATCAGTTTTGGACCCATGCCCTGCAGAGCTGGAAGAGCCCTCAGCTCTCATCCTGGAGCAGCAGTGATCTGACACAGAGGGGGGGGTTACCATCTGTAGAGGTGACCTCATGATGTTTGGAGCTCAGTTCTGCTTGAAAAACCCCCTAATTTTGACCCCAAGCTCAGCCCATGGCCATCCAGCCCATGTTTGCTCCCACTGTTGCCTCATGCTGCTCCAGATAGGAAACTACATTAAAGCAGCTCCAGCTGTAAAACAAGAAAAATTAGGAAATCCACAAGAAGTTGACTCAAATGACTACATAAAAGCAAGCTCTTGTCTCCTACCAGCTATTTTAATCTGCTGTTAGCTTTCCAGTGGGAGGATTCAATTTACATTTAAATAAAAATCTTAAGCACGGGGCCTATCTAGCATTACAACATTCATTACAGAGGCATTTACCTCCCAAGAAATTTTAAGAGACCTCATGGAAGTGTGTTTTAATAAGTGTGTGTGGGGGGGAACTATTAGCAGCCTGCTATTATTGGCTACTTGTATTTGTGGGCTGCTGCTGTCAGTTAGCATCTTGCTTGCAGGTCAGCCCAGTAGCTGAAGGAAGGGTTGCAGTGAGTTGCAGACTGTGAGCTCACAACCAGAGGGAAGAAACAATGCAAAAAGAAATCTCAGATCACCAAAATGCAGCTGCAGGAAACTCGTTTTCATGGGGAAGGAAAGGAGAGGCTGCAAGCTGAAGGAAATGAATGGGATGGGCAAAGGGAAAGCATTGCTGCTGCTTTGGTTCAAAGCAAACTCGGAGTTTTTTGAGCCATTCTCATGCAACCACTGTTGCACGTGCTGTCTGTGCTGCAGTTCTAAACCAGGCTGCTTACTCAAGCCCTTATCAGCAGCTGTTGGGGTTTTCCCCCTCAATATCCTCCTCCTGCTCAATTCAGTTCATACAGGCATCTCCATAGAGAATGTTTTCATATTGAACCCTGCCCAGGGAAGTGGGTTGAAACTATATGACCTTTAAGGCCCCTCCCAACCAAAGCCATTTTGTGATTCTTGAGTCCTTTCCAAAGATGTGCAAAGGTCAAACGTTGGGGGAAACACAAAGCCCAAAGCTTTATGCCTGTTCCCATCGATGCTGGATGGGCAGCAGTGTTATCTGGGGTGTGGGAATGGGCACATGAGTGCATCTCTCCATCCTGCCTCCAAGGGGAAGCCTTCCTATAAGGAAAAGGCATTTCCATGTGGATGGTGGGCTGGGGGCCAAAGAGAGCCTTGGCTCAGGACACCGGTATCACTTCCATTTTGATGATGCCAATAACATCAATGCAAACATCCTTTCATCTTCATAACACATTGCCAAGCTGAAAGCAAGGTGGACACTTTCCAAATGGTGAAAATTTCCAAATGGGGAAAACTGCACAGCTTTGTGTCCCTTTGGATGGGGATGGCCCAGGGAAACTCCAGAGTTGTGCTGCAAAATGGGAAAGGTAACTTTTGCAAAATGCTTGGGAAATGATGAAGGTGATGTCAGTGTTAAAGGAACAGCAGCAGCGCTGGGTACCTGGAGCAGCTCCTGCAAGCCATCAGCTGTTTCCATGGGAACAGCAGGAAGGTTGCTGGAATTCCTGTTGGTTACACAAATAAACCAAAAAAAACCAATATTTGACTTTAACCTTCATCTGTGGGTTGAGCCAACTCCACTCAATGAACACTCATGGACACCAGTCCATGTATGTGTTTGAGTAAATAGTGATGAACGTGAGGAGATGGAAGACAGAAAGCACTCCTACAAACCCAACAAATGTTCCTGTTGAAGAAATCAGCATTGTGTGGATGAAGGCAATAAATCCATGCAATGGGACCAATGCACACCTGGGTGTCAGCATTACCCTGGGGCTGTTGGACACTGCAGGACTGGAGGCAGCAGTCAGTTTGCTCCTGTCATTTCTTGCAGAGATCTGGCATCCTGACAGTTAATTAACTAGTTAATTCATTAGTTCTCTCTCCCGCAGGGCCCTGAGCTGGTTGCAGCACAGAGTCACTGTAATGCAGGCAGACAGGAGCTGGGAGATTCAGGATCTCTCTCCATCACAACGCTTCACCCAAGGGGAGAAGTCCACCAGCTGCGTGTGAACCTCTGACAAACACAAGGAGACACCATCTCAGAAACCAGGCACTCAGAACAGACAGCTGCTGCGAAAAGAGCCCGCAGTGAGGCTGGAGCCCAGCTGCATTTAGCAGGATTGTGAGATGAAGTGATGCTTTGCTGCATCCCTGTGCATTCAGAGCGTGCCTTGCAATAGGAGATCCCACCTGCTGGCCCCAGCAGCCCAACGTGGTGATATGCAGAGGTTTTGTAGCCCATGGGCAGAGCCTGAGCAAGCACAGGGACTTTGGACTGTGGGTTTTGCTCTCTAGGCTTCAAAGGAAGCAGGGGTTTAATCATTGACAGAGCACTCAGCAGGGCTGCAAGGAGCAGGTCTGAAAGGGGGGCAGGGGGGGGGAAAGCATTGGGATCATTCTGGTTTGTTTCAGCAGAAATACAACATTTTGGTAAATTAATTCCTACGGACAAAAGGGTTCATTTAAATTGTAGAGAATATTCCTCACCTTTGTATGAAGTGCATTAAATGCAAAGTATTTGGTGCTTTAATAAGAAGACCGGTTTCAAAAGGAAATATTGTCAGAAGATGCTTTGGTTCAAAGGTTGCCACATGGAAATACTTCCACCAGAGCATCTCCTTCCTTCTGTCTTGCTGATCCCCTAAGCTAAATTTATGGGCAAACACATGAATCTCTTCTCACTGTGCTTTTATTGTTCTCATTGTATCTAGAAGTTCTATTCCAGGCTCCACCACTCAGTGCTTTTGTGATGCTCTGCTCGTGTCCATCTGCAGCCATTTGCACCCAACCCAGCAAGCACTTCCATGGCTGCTCCAGCTTCTCCAGCAGGGTTTGCACAGAGCACAGCCCAGCAAAGCCAGGAGGGGCAATGGATGCATTCTGAGCTGCTCAGATAACCATAGCAGCAGAGCAAAGCCATCCCCAGGCAGAACAAAGCCAACAGTGAAAGAAGAGCTTCTTACCTATCAGACCACCTCTCATCCTCTGCATCTTCCTCTCTTCCAGCCCAGCTCCTGCCCATCCTGGGGGTGTCTCTGAGAACACAGAGCTCTTCTACAGCAAACCTGATTACAATTGACCTCCGTGCTGCAGCACTTCAGCTGTTCCCCATTTAGCACCAATTCTGCTGTCATTACTCTGCCCCAGCTGTTTCCTCCAGGCACAGATCCTTGCTGACAGCTTTCCGGAGGAGAAAGTTGCAGTGCATTAAGCTGGAGACGTGGAGGAGAGCTTGTGATGTGTCCCCAGGATGGGTCAGCAGCAGAGCTGGGGCAGTGGGTGGCAGTGGGATGGGGCAGCAATCCCATAGGATTCACAGGAATGGGGCAAAAGCAGGCATTACAAGGCCTCAAACCCTACCAAATACATTTAAAAGAAAAACCTTATGGGGAAAAATTAATTTAGAGGTGCTTAAAGCAACCCAGGGTGATCATGAGCAGAATGCAGTCCTCCTTTAGGACACAGCATGCAAGAACAGAGAGGCATGCAACCATATTTCCTTACCTTGCACCTGATCCACTGCTGTTAGCCAAGAAAACAAGCTGTTATCACATGCTATGATAACTCAGCTAGTTGGGGAGTAGCTATATGTGTAACAGATACCCCCAACCATCACCTTCAGTGTCTGGGAACCCAGGAAACTGGGAGCAGGGATGTGATGTGAGACGGGATGGGGCACAGCTCACCACCTTTGCACCACTCCATGTTTGTTTTGGTGATCTGCTCAATAAAATGAACAAGCACAATACATGCTAGGCTCGCTCCCCAGGGAAGGAGGATGAGTTCCCACTCAGTTCTGGCAGGATCCCACGCTGCCTCACTCCTTTCCAAGGAGCTGGAGGAGACTTGGCCCAAACAGAACTCCTCTGGGGGTGGAAGAAGCTCTGTGTCTCCCCAGTTTGAATTAAGGAATGTACTGTTAATTGAAATCCAACCCTAATGAGACTTGCAGCTGGGCACAGACCTCATTTCAGGACTGGTCACAGTGTCAGGGCTGCTACCACTGCCTGAGGCCGTGGCTGTCACTTCCAACAAACCCAGCAAGCAACAGATTGAGAGGTTATTTTCCAAGCACAGCTTAAGCTGCAGCACCTCACATGGCCAGGATCTTGCTCTCATTCTTCCTCTTCCACGCTGCACTTTATTATTTTTAAGAGAAGGAATCAGGAACAATTGTATACCAAAGCAAAGACCCAATATAACAGCATTGGGCACTGCCACCATTCCCCCTTTTCAGTAATATTTCCAGACTTGAAGGGACAAAGCTATTTTCCCAGAGTGGTTAACCCCTTCCTTGAACCTTCATGGCTTGAATTACCCTAGAGCCATTGCCTGTCCTGCCAGCTTGGTGTTCCCCCAGATGTGATACAACCAAAGCATTGAGGAGCTTTACCTTCTCAAAGATAACAGTCAACAGTAGGTGGACAACCCCTCAAGGGTGTCTTTTGCCATCACCTCTGGAAGCTGGCCTTCTTTTAAATGGTTTAGTGGAGAGGTGGTGGTGGTAGGTGGACCGGATGACCTTG